ACCAGGAAGAACGTCTAAAGAACGCCACATTGAGACCCGCGGATTAGAATGGAACGGAGGGGGAGAGCGGCTGTCTAGGTTTATCATGGCGAACAAGACAATCCGTGGCAACTCGCAATTCCAGAAGCCCCACCCTCAGCGCTGGACGTGGGAGACTCTTAATGGAGAGTACCATAATGAAATTGACCACATCAAAGTAAATAGAAGGCTTTTCCTAACCGATGTCGCTGTTGTCCCAAAATTCTACACGGTATCAGAGCATCGTCTCCCTCGTGCAAGATTCTATTTCTCGCGGAAAGGTGAAAAAGCCGCTAAATTCCAAAACCGAATTCCCAGGAACCACCATAAACTGGGACTTATTCAAGTCATTAGTCGGTTGTTGGGAAGATGCCGTTGTCGGTAACATCGACGAAGAATACGATCGGCTCATTCAACATTTTCACGTTAGCGCTATGAAAGCTGATAGTTCGATAGTCACCAAGAGTCGTTTGTCTACAGAAACACTCGGGCTGATACGTCAGCGTGGAATCGCACGAGCTGCAGGCAACCGCGAATTAACGTCCAAGCTTGTAAAACAATGGAGACAGGCGATAAAAGAAGAACTTAGAGAGAGAAGAGGCGCAGTAATGGCCGAAGCTACACAGGCTGGGAAAAGCATTCGCAAAGCCCATCGAATCTTCGCCAATTACAAGACCAAAATGATTGCTCTCCGGCGCCCAGACGGAACAGTTACAGCGTCCAGAAAGGCAATGGAGAAAATCGTTCACGAATACTACTCGGATCTCCTCGATGGCCGTCCACCTTCTGTGATACGAAATAAAGGAGGATGATATGTTGTGCTATCGACTCTCCCTTCCGAAATCCAACATTTCACTTCGTCGGTGAAAAATCGAACAGCAGCAGGTCCGGACAGGATAAGACCAGAACACCTGGAGAACCTTCCGCCAGTCCTCCCAAACACACTGGCTCGGTTCTTCACACGTCAGATGTCTGAATGCAAGGTCCTTACTCAGTGGAAGACCATCAAGACCATGTTATTGTTCAAGAAGGGTGACCTACATGGTATCGGTAACTATCGCCCAATCTGCTTACTGTCTGTCGTCTACAAACTTTTCACTCGGGTCATCCTAAACAGGATTGACAAAACATTAGACGAAGGACAACCATGTGAGCAAGCAGGGTTTCGAAGAGGATTTAATACGATGGACCACATCCACACGGTAACAAGGCTCACTGAAGTATCTCGAGAGCACAAAAGACCGCTCTGTCTCACTTTCATCGATCTACAGAAGGCCTTTGATTCAGTAGAGATAGAAGCAGTCTTGGAAACTCTTGATAGTCAAGGAGTCCCTAATCAGTACATAAAGATCCTTTGTGAGCTGTAAAAAGATTTCGCAACCAAGGTATGACCATTCTACAACGATATTAACATTGACGTCAAAAGAGGAGTCACGCAAGGCGATACCATCTCGCCAAAATTATTTACCGCCACACCACAACGTCATGCAAACATTGGAATAAGGTAGCATGGAAGTGAAAATCAATGGTCGGTAGTTACACCATCTTCGCTTTGCTAATGACATCGTCCTTATAGCACCAAACATTAGGTAAGCGGAACGTTTGCATGACGACTTTGATAAAGTCTGTGGAAAGAATGGTTTTCGACTAAATCTCACAAAAACAATGTTCATGAAGAACGGATTGGTTTCCCATGCCCCATTCACGCTCAACGGAATGAATATTTCCAAATGCTCCAGTTAAATCTATCTAGGTCGAGAAATCAATATGATGAACGACCTAACTCCAGAGCTGAGCATAAGGAAACGAGCGGCTCGGCCAGCTTTCAAGAACATCGAGGATGTAGTGAAGAGAACAAAGAACACTCGACTCCGCGCCCATCTTTGTCGACTCAGCGGTACTTCCCGCCCTAACGCATGTGTCAGAAACCTGGTCGCTGCCTAAGCAGGATGAAAGATCACTCAGCGTTATCGAACGCGCAGTCGAAAGGACGATGCTAGGAGTATCCCGTTCCACACAAGTAAGGGATGCGATCCGAAGCTCCGATCTGCGTTAACTATTATAAATCAAAGATGCCGTTTTGTACGCCAAACAGTCGAAGATAAGGTGAACCGGACACGTAATGCGTATGAATGACAACCGATGGACAAGAGCCGTTAGTGACTGGATTCCTCGGGATGTTAAACGTAGTGCAGGATGACCACCGACCCGATGGTTAGAGTTATTCACAAAGAGCCTTGAAGAAAGTTATGATGCTCGATGAGTTCCTAGAGCGAGCAGAACCCACTGGGCTACTCTTGCACGCGACATGGAAAAATGGAAGATTTACTTTACTGTCGCCCGCTCGAGTTACTCGACGGTCAACGGAACTACAGGTGATACAGGTGATACCAGGGTATTATGTAAAATACAATCACAGTGATGCTGAGATCTTTGCGAAACTGCGGACCGCAGGTGTCTGCAATGGGGAACGAACGCGCTATTGTCCTTTTCGGGGACTAACTAGTTCACCACAACACCATGCTGGTCTTTGGTTTCGCCTGTCTCTCAGCTAGTTACATCGATCTCTGCCATCAGCAATCACCCTTCAGTGGGATTGATCTGGAGAGTCCAATGTGGTAACAAACCCAGTTAACTCGTATATAATGCTGAGATTTTTGCAAAACTCCGGACCGCAGGTGTATGCGGTGGGGAACGAACCCGCGCTGTCCTTTCCGGGGAGTAACGCGTTCACCACCACACCATCAGGGTCCTTCGTTTTGCCTGTTTCTCAGCTAGCTAGCAAACCCAGTTAATTTGAGGGTGCAGTTATAATCACAATTTTAACTTATTATTTACTGCCTACTGCTTTTAATGACAGGGTATATTGCGAAATATAACTTCAATGATGCTGAGATATTTGCAAAACTCCGGAGCGTAGGTGTCTGCGGTGGGGAGCGAACGAACGTGGTCGTTTCGATCCGTGAAATCGAAGTAGAGGTGTTGCTGAAGCGAATTGAAGATCTTCAAAGTCTAGAAGTATCTGATAAGACAGAAACATTATCTACAGTTTTAGGAGGCAAGATTTAAAAAACCTTTAGCAGCAACACCAAACACAGAGGCTCAGCATGTTTTCTGGCCGACGACGACTACAATTACTCGCAGAATCATGCAACTGCAATTTACAAGCAGTTAAGGTGACATGAGATGCGTTTAGCGTTGCGGTTAGTGGTGCCCTATGATTCACGTGGATCTTCGGATCAATACCACTCGTCGGGCCAACGAATTGCTCCTTCTCTCTGAGATGGCGAAAATTGGTACAATTGTAAGTAGGCTTTTCTGAGAGGATAAAACAAAAACAATGACTTCAAATGTAGGCCAGTCTCGCCAGTAGTTCCTTAAGGAAAATACCCCTTCACTCACCCCCTCTGTGATGCTTGAAAGCAGTCGAATACATGGCCCGTGACCAACGATTTACCGTTTTGTTTTCCTTATCTCCTAATTTTATCGAAGAAACCTGATAATGGAGATATTGTTGTTTACAATAAGTGTCGGAATTGTTCATTTCCTAGATTTCTGATGTCATAGTAGGCTTGTTGTTGGTGGTTTTTGAAGATGTCCGGCGAAGATGAAGATTTTAAAGAAGGTAAGTGATTTCGCTTTATTAAGTGCTGCAGCTCCTCGAGGCTGAAAAATTCTACAATAGAAAGAGAACTTAGGAGAAAACTGTGCACTAAAAAGCTTCATGCGTTAAGAATATTCTCCAGCAAAATATCAGTTCGCGGAGGAAACATGCATAGGCACTTAGTATTGTAGAGATATCATAAGTCGGAGTTTTGGCAAGGAATTGCTGATTATACAGTAGAATGTTCTGGAAATGGCGTTTTAAATGGGAACAAACCTCTTTTAGCAAATTAAATAGTCGTAAGACATAGTGTGTTGAAATCGATGCATATGATCGCTTTCATCTTAGAAGCAGATTTACAAAATGTTCAGATCGCCCACCGATGCAGGTACTAAGCAGCATATTAGCGTCACTTCGTCTAATCGACTCAGCCCGAGAGCGTTCTGAACTCGAACGCGAAGATTTGCACGCAACAATGCGAATCGGTAAGTCCCGATGATTCCATGATTTTGTGGAAGGTTTGTGTGGTTACGTCATCAATAACTGCCGAGGATTATGAATGTGGCGTTTCGCTACTTAGAGAAAACTCTCTTCCGGGATTTCTGTAGACTCCTCGTTTCCACTTCGGAAATCATGGAAAGTAGAATCACTAGTGATTCTAAAGGAAATACTAATTTCGTAGTCGAATGGATGTATGATTAACCCATTCCGCTCCGTTTGGACTCTATAGCGTCCATAGCGTTTTGAGCGAAAGGACCGTAAGGACACCAGTGTCCAGCACATAGTGAATGGTAGTACGCATATCACTCATAGCTTAGAACGATAACGCAAGTTCTCTTCTACAACAATGTTATGTTCAAAAATACTTCAGTCGTCTGTCTATTGAGCGAGGATTGAAAAAAAGCCAGGAAGTCCGCAGTCGATGAAAAATTGCGTATAGTCCCTTGGATCAGCTCTGTAATACGGCTGCGTGGGTGTAGTAAGGTTAAATGCCTCTGGAGAAAAATGGAAAAAATGATAACGCGAAAAAATGAAAAAATGGAAGTTTGACAGCAAGGAGTAGAGGAAGTAGGACGAGCTTTGATTTTTCACACTGGGTTCACGATAAAAATGTGAATTGACAAAAACGAATTCGGCTACCAAACACATAACGCTGTTCATTTTCCCTATTGTTTCACATCCTACTCATATGCTATCCATAGGTGGGGGCATTTTAATCGATCTACTTTCATTTATATCATATTTTGTATAAACCCAATTCGATTTCCATACTTTTTCACTTTAACATGGATGCGGTTTATGGAACAACCACAACCGTCCTTCTTCGGCTTGATGATAATCTTCTGAATCCTACGCAAAACCTTTTGTCGTGATATGAGTGCTTTCTAGCTAAGACTATCCGCTACCGTATCCGGCAGCAAATTCTGGCGAAATCGTGGGTGAAAAGCATGACCTATTGGCCATTCGTTTTTGCTGAGGTCGACGCTGTGAGATGTTTACCATAAAAGAAACCAGCTCTGGAAGCCATGCCACTAGTCTTGGAAACTCGAGTCATTTTCTAGTGAATCTTCAACATTCAGACGACCTCACTTCGTTATCGCCATAAGGATGATGGTATAAATTATGTTACTTTACAGTGCTGGCCGTGTTGATGTTCATATTACTGCTCGTTCTCAGCATTCATGAAGTCGTTATTGCTGCGGCTAAAATGACGTCATGTCCCGTTGCTCCGTTAATTCCCGTCTGGTTAATCGTTTCTGGTTTAATGGGCATTTTAAGGAATACTGGGGCGATTGTGTGCTCCATATATGTGAGTTGTTTCAATTATTTCGCGCTCTACAGTGCGCCTAGAATATTAAGCACTACAAATACAACGAATAATTTTAGACCTATTAGTTATGTTGGCTTCCAATGCGTTGGTAAACACAGTTGATAAAAAGGTAGAGCATTCGGTTTTAAACATTTCCTTAGTGATTCGGCATGTATTCCACTCAATACCGCATCGTAGAAGTGATTGAATTCATAGGCTACAAAATGTCTTTTGGTGGGTTACTGATGTATCATCTCAGTGCTTAATCATTTCAAACAAGTTTAACACACATTTGCCGAACTCGCAACGATAGGAGGCTTCGAGGTTGGACCGAGCTGCCTCTAACCACTGCGATGCGTGCGTCTTCAGAAGCGAAATAACTGTGAATAGAATTTCCGAGCTTCTACCTTTACCATGTTATATTCGCTTTCTTTGAAAGTCACGTCTCTTCTCTGCATCACTAGATTTATCACATCTTCAGGCCTATTTAACAAATAAATGGAAACATTATAAAAGCATTAGTGTTATGAGAACCACATTTATCATTCAGGAGGATAAGAAACGTCGAGCGATCGCTATAAGAGATTGTATTCTGGGCCTCTTCACAGCTCTTTGGATCATGTGGTCAGTGGTACATTAAGTAAATTCTGCACACATTCGTAAATCTCCTAATCCTGTCTTTCGTCTTGTTCATTTTCACTCAATTCTTTATCGCTTGACACCTACGACGTATATCGCATTAAAAGGGAAAGAATTGAATTGAAAGAATTCGAATTGTAGACCGATCGTCAATGAGGGCGCTAGTGAACATCTGAGAACGTAGCTGTTCATCTTCGTTTCGTTCATGGTGTACAAACATAAGTGAATGTTGTAGAAGATGTCTTCGAATGAAAGGTGTAATAGGTGCAGGACGAAATATCTTAACTATCTTCGCTTACCAACTCCCTCAATAGTCTAGTGCTTGCTCTCAGCGATAAAATATTTCTGGATGTTAAGGAGTGATCAAATCAGCTCGGAATTCTGGCGCGCCAATCCAGAATTGGCATAGAGAATAGACCTACCCTGTTATCTCCCGCCACTGCAGACTCGTCTCACTTGCGAGATGATAGGTCGGCCTCCTTCAGATTCAATAAAAAACTCTAACTGCTTCTGGAGGAGATCTATGTGCGCCGTAGCGCAGGTATGTTGGGAGTCCAGAAGGAAACCTGGTCTTAGCAAACAAGAAGAAAATTTGGACCTGCGCAGTTTATGAGAATGACCATACACGAAGCGCTTGATAGAAAGGTTCGATAAAGTAGACGACTTCACACTTCAACACCTTACCCGTCCTAGTCTGAAGATTTTTTTGTAATAAGTGACATATCGTGGAACAATCGGCACCTCTCACCTGCACTTGTGAGTCAACATTGTTGTAAATCCATGTGCCAAGTAGTCTGGTTAAAGTATATAAGCGGGATTGGTTGTGGATTCGTTTTAGTGAATGCGAGATAAAAATTTGGATCTAAATGGATAGGTACTTCATCCTATCCTTCACTCTTTTGTATTGATTACGGTACTCCATAGGAATGGATGTGTTATAATAATGAATTTTCTATTCAGAAGTTATTAATTTAGCTCTTTCGTTTTATGGCAAAAAATCGACAATGTCATTTGCTCTCCACTCCACATATATATATATATATATATAGGGCGCGTGTGGCGCAGTGACTGGAGGCGCCACTGCGACACACACGTGGAATCGATCCCCGCGCCAATGGCCCACCAAACCTTCCATCCCTCCGGGGTTGGCAGGTTGCTACCAGACTTGTCTGGGAGGACAGCAGCACTGGCTCGATACATCGATGTGTCAGCACGACTCATTGTAAAAGCCAGATATGCATTCAATCACCTCCAACGATGCTTAATGAAGTCGAATACATGAGGCACCCCTCAGGGATTGATCAACGCCGAGAGCGTTATCCCTTTATATATATATATATATATATATATACATGTATATATGCGTGTGAATCCTATGGAATTAATTTGTTCGTTAGCATTTAGAATGGAAATGTCGTACTGCTTCCTTCCTAGGATGACCTTGCTGGAGATTAACTTCTTAGCAAGCATCGATTGTTGATAGTACAGTTAGAGTAAAAAACTAACTGAGAGAAAGGCAAAGTGAAGGCCGTCTTGGTTGGTGTTATGGATAGCTCGTGAGCGCCGGTAAGGGTAATGTCGGGTTCGAAGCGGTCCTGAGATTCCGATAGCTTTCGAATCGAAGTGTTGTCGCCGTAATTTTTCTTAATGCGGAAAGTTCTTTTCGAAGCAATTTCTGAAAAGAAATGAACTCTATGTGTTACGAGTAGTCTTTTACTAGAAGTTTAGGATAATGTACAACTTCAGGTTGATCGTTGGTTCCTACTGGACGTACAGCGTATACGATAAAGTCGTATATCAGTCGAATAAGGAGAACTACTGCGATCAGTTGCTGTACTGCTTTACGTTCTCGTTGATCACCACCAGCTATGTGATTATCGGCATTACATTTTGCTGCATGATATACTGTGTCGTGTTTCTTTGTTGTCATAATAGTTCTGTGGCCATCATTACATAACTTATTATTCAGAAACTTCTTGCAAATCCACTTTGTTTTCATGTGATGTCTGTGGCAGATTTATAGAAATGCTAAACATTGCTTAGTTGCTTATATATGCTACTTCTTTGTTAATATAAAAGCTTAATTAAAAGAGTATTTTATTTGACACTAGTGTTTAGGCACTCCCATTTTGCCATTTATTTTCCAATTCCTTTGTTTCTTTATTTTTGTCGCATCGATTCATAGAATCTCGATGGCCAGAGGTGCCCTAAAATATACACCAGGTCGTTGATTTGGTCCTGTTCCCCATGCTCCGCAAACCTTCCATCCTTCCGGCGTGAGGAGAAGAGTGCTAGACTTATCTGGAAGGATAGCAGCAGCGATTTGGTACGTCATTAGATCCCACAAGAGACTTTCTAGGCCACATATGGGTCCAGTCTCTAAAGTGTTTAACAGGATCGAGTCCATGACGCATCTGGTCACAACGTTTAAGCAGCAGGATCAAAACCTACGTTTGCAACGATGAATTCTTTTGCGCTCAAAACAAATTTCGAGAGGGATTTTTCACCATGTAAGCGTCCTACTTTGACAAAACCGACAACACAGAAGAGCACACGGAGCCGTTATTTTGCTGTTCCACTTCTTTTGATACCTTCTACGGCAACTAAATTTCTTTCCTGCACCTCTCTTACATCTAAGTGTGAAGTGCAAGGCGTTCGGTGTTAACCAACTCGTTAGGAGTATGCCATGTTATACCACCTATTTAACATTGCATAGGAGATTTAATGTATATTTGGCCTATAGAATGCTTAAGTAGTGCTATCGATCTATCAAGTCGGTGGCTCTACATCATTCTGCAGACCCAAAGGGATAAGAGCTTGGTTGCTCCAAGGCGTTGAATGAGCGAAACACTAGTTGTATATTGCAGAACACCTCTAACCACTGTGCTATATGTGCCTTTCAGTATTAATACCATCTTTTGTATCTTTGTTTTTACCCGTAAGCCTTTATTATTTATTAACCAAAAAATTGACTTAGTAACTCGAAAGACCGACTTTCTCTAAACCTTGGCATAGATAGTTGATATATTTATTTATATGATCTTATAAACTGATCTTGTTAAGCTGACGCGAGGTTGGTACAGGTCTTCGTTGTCGTTGTCGTTGTTGTTGACGTTGTTGGTCGATGGTTGACGTTTCGGCGACTTCGCCTTCCTCACAGCCGTGATGTTGCGTGTGTGCAGTCCCACACGCAACATTGCGGGTCTGAGGAAATCGCCGAAATGTAAGCCATCGGCCAACAAGAGTAACAGCAACAACAACAACAACGACAACGACAACAAAGACCTATACCAACCTCGCATCAGCCAAAGAAGATCAGTTTACAAGATCATATAAATAAATATATCAACTATCTATGCTGAGGTTTATAGAAAGTCGGTCTTTTGAAATAGTTACCACCTGTGAATGTGGGTGCTTCGATGTCGAAACGCTATGAAGATGGACAGCTCTGTGTAGCTTGACACTTCATTCTAGAAGCATCTAGTTACTGAGGAAGAAGTGGTGCTGAACTGGAAAGTCCTAGTACAGCTTTCGAAACTCCAAAGAAAATCTTGCCGAACGAGAAAGTCGACAGCCAAATGGGGAGTATTTTGGAGGCAGTCCAATTCTTCGGAATTCTTTTTTAAATTTCTTTAATCTTTTAATAGAGAAATTTGTGAATTAAAATTGCTGCTGTTAAATCGCGGGAAAATCAATATATTGATCAATGGTTTGTTGATTATACCCATTCTTGTTTAGACTCCGAAGATGCATACGCAGTGAATCAATTTTACTAAGAAACATCTCTTTTCGTTTTTAACTTTTATATCATAGTTGAGATCGCAGTAAATCAGGGCTCCTGTTGAACTTTGAGTGAGCAGAGTTGAACTGGGTGATATCTTGAAAAGTAACTACGGAAGGATGGAGAAGCTGGCGAAGATGTTGTCGTCATCACTTCTGTAGTGGGTTCTCGTTGCGTTTTTTATTCCAACATTGCCACCGTCATCAAATGAAAACGGTGGGAAAAAATCTGACTTGTTGAAAATCTGTGTGAGTATTTGAAGATTTTGAATATAAAATAGGCTTGGAGCACTTGGTGAAATGGCGACAGGCAGGAGTGTGAATAGACTTCATTCAAAAATAAAAGCCTTGATTGGAAAGATAGTAAAATATCAAAGGAATATAACGACAATGATGCTAAGATACCTGCAAAATGAAGGCCGCTGGATTAGCAGTGGGGAATGAACCAGTTATTACGCATTACGGAGGATGACGCGTTCACCACCACATCATGCGAGTTTCGGCTTACTCTCAGCCATATTACTGACCTGTCCAAGGAATGAAATGATTTAATGGAATAGCCCAGCACACCGAATTCTATAGTATCTCGCAAGCCTCATCTCAGTAAACACCAAATTGTTATGTGTCTTGGCTTTGAATTGATATGAAGCAGAGAAAAACTTTATTTCGTAGTGAATTCACTCGACTTATATTCTGGGAATATTTTTTCAAAGAAATGGTCTCAAACATAGCAAACACGGTGTTTTGCTATCAGCAGCAACACCAAGAAAGACTAAAATGACATAAACGGTTTTGCTCATTTTACAGCTATTATTACTACTTTTATTTGTTTACTATTACCTAGAATAGACAGATAGGCAAGGTAAACTAAAACATCAAAGAGCAGTTGACTGCCCATCCACGTTGATAGTCAGCTTCCCGGTGGCCGTCACCGTCAGCTTTTAACGACCATATCGCGACCAATTCACGCCGATTTATGAGGCGCCAGAATTTTTTCTAGGGTTCGCCAAGATTCCAAACCGTGGACTTTCTTTGATTTTCTACTATTTTAGTCAATCGGATAAGCGCATAAACATGGAAATATGCGAAATTCCTTGAGGATGATCGCTAGCTGTAACCACTAGAAAATCACTACCCTTGAGGAATGAAACTGTTCGGCCTAAAATGAGCCACAAGCTCAAGCACATAAGAGTAAGCCTTAGTGTCAAACTCCACATTAATTGTTACTTGCATCAATAACCAATACATTATTGTGAATGCATAGCCTTGAAGGCATTAAATCGACAAATTCATAAATAAATAAACAATTAGTGTTCAATCTCCTGATATGATAGTAGTTCGACAAATTTAACAAAGCATTTTTATGTGGTTATTTCCTGTCTACGATGTAATGACATGAGTACATATTGATTAGTGACCGATAAGAGAAAACAGGAAATCGGTTCGTACGAGGAGTTGGCCGTACCCCAATAAATACTGCTTGAGAGAAAGAAGGAAGGAGAACAAAAACAGAAAGAAAAAAGCAGGATTAATTGCGTCTGTTCATTTGGCTGATTCGGCCGAACATGGCAAAAATGCTGACCACTTTATTTCTTTGAGCACCTCATGTCTTAAAAATGGCTCTTGATCGTTCTCTAATAAAATACACTGATAGTTCATTCCCGGATCAATAAAGCTATCATCATAACATTTATTACACCTTGTACTTCTTATAATCTCGAATAAATTAATGTATAAAAACAACGATATTCAACAAGAAGTACCACGGTAGCACCACCAACATAAAATTATAGCCTTTTTGAATGTTCTAGAAACCTTGAACAAACACTTAAAGTGCGATTTTTCCTTGAAAAGTTCCTTTTTACAAGATTTTTGTCCTTCTATAGATTATTTCCGACAGTTGTCAGGTTTTTCTCGCAAAGAGATTATATTTACAATACCGGTGTAGTCGAGGAGAAAAGCGAGAATGACCAAGAAACCGATGAAGAGTGTCGTAGTAGAACGAGCAATCCAAAAATAATCGGCTGGGCGACGTTCTGTGGTCGCAGTACTGCTGCTGTCAGCAGCAGCAGCCTTAGCATCAGCAGCATCAGCAGCAACAGCAGCAACAACAGCAGGGAGCTACGAACGACGAGCTAAGCGGTTATTACTGAATATCCGGTCGTAGGTATGTCGAGAGGTTCTTCACTGCATAAATGTTCGTGTAAGGACCGAACAGGCCGACTGGCAGACGCTGAAACAGGCTGACGACGACTTGCTCCCAGAGAATATCCGACGACCGACTTGGCCGCCTTCAAATCCATCATCATAAGTGAAGACGCGTGGAAAGATCCAGTTCTATACATTCGCACTTCTTGATCTAAAAACAATTAATCGCCTAATTTAAAATAACAGTTTTGAATAATACATGAATACGCCCAGTCTTAGGTCCCCTACCTTAATGATAGACTTGGTGACCTGTGGCGGGTTCTGTCCTGGACAATCCAAAGTGACATCGAAACGGTCGTATTCCTTCGGTGCACAAGCTGCGCAGGACTTGAACACTGCTTTGAGCTTTTTGCTGTTTATCCGCGGTATGAAGTAGGACGAACAAATGCCGTGGCAGAACCTGTGAATTTAATTTTGCATCTATTGTTGTACACATCAAGAAAACCAACTTCTAATCACAAAGGTGTCAACATCTCGCGCCATCTCTAGCCAACATTATCAGTTCTATCAATTATAATGTACATTAATTGACAGGCCGAGAAATGGGTGAGAGAGGTGAGAATGGGGAGCGAATATGAAGCCGGTGAGTTCCGGCGTAGCGACTGGTAGCGAGGATGCCCCACATGATTAACGGTTTTGCTAATATTTTGTGACAAATGAACTCAGTGTTGGTTGAAAGTAAACAGTAAGAAAGGAATTGCCGACGAATTGCTTGCTTATCTTGAAGGAGCCAATTTTAGAGCCACGTCGATACGACTAAGAAATAGTGCAAGAAAAGTGGCAGTTTGATAATCAACTAAGAATGGGCGGCAAAAAGGAGGCTACGAACATTACTTACTTCAAAAAATTTGACAATAGAGAGTTTCATGCTTCACGACCCAACTGATTTGAACATGCAAGGGTCTTACAATAAATCGATAGCTTAGCTATAGAAATGGCTATACGTACCTATTTACAATGACTTTGGTTAGACAACCTGGAGCTTTCACCCGTTGTTTGAATTTCGCCCCTTCACACCTTTGTACTGGGCGCATATGTGGATCGTTGAGGGTGATCAGAGCATGGTTTCGACCATCAATTAACGGTTTTCGCCGCCCTGTAAAAGAAATTAGTTCAGAAAAACTAAACCATCAAATAAATTAATACCGTATATTAGCGCACCAAAATCCTCAGGAAAAGGAGAGTTTCTACGTTTAGTGAAATGATGAATTGACCAACGGGTTTGGACCAAAGTTGACGGCTGCTCAGTTAAATGGAATAAACGGAGCACAATAACCAATATTAAAGCGTGTTCTATCTAACGCCTGACACCAACCACAAATGTTAGTTCAACACCAGAACGAGCTCATCTTATCGCTTCATGTCGAGTGAAGGTTAGCGTTGGTACAGGCAAATATTTATATCTCCTATAACAGAGTATCCTAAGCAAATTCCTGCTTTCCGAATGAAGTCGATTTCCACACACAGAGTACTATGTTATTTTAAAACTTTCTGTTGATGTTTCGAGCAAACCGAAGTAGGTGATTCTTTAGAAAAAATAGCGTCAATATCAACGTATTGAGTTTTAAGCTTCCTTGTGGTCACTGCGCTGGTTTTCCCCTAAAATGGCTAATTCTTGATCCATTACTGGCTGTCTATTATTGATTATTTAAGGGTTGCTTATACTTTGAACTCTTTTTAAATAGCCCGTCAGGTGGTTCTATTTTGAGGGATAATTAATCTGATATCATAAGATTAATGATCTTTTGAAATTTACCAAAGAGTTTATTCGAAAGCACTACCGAGACGTTGGTCAACGAGAATCTTTCTTGAAATTATCTAGCTTTGCTCTATTTAATTTATTTACTTAACTCTTCTGCATTTTTCTTATTTTATTATTACGGCATGTCGCAGCTACAACGTGTAATCTATCTGCAAGAAAGTGCGAGAATTCTGACACGTTTGGTATGAGCATCCTCATGTGTGCTTCATTTTGAGAGATGATATGACTTTACGCTTAACTAGATTGTGATGCAAAATTATTGAAATCCTTCGAAACTTGAGCTTGAGAAGGTAAGCCCACCCCACACATTGCAGTTCAACGATTAGAAACACCTGAGCTCAATCACGGTGAGGTGATAAGTCATTAAGGGACGTACACGTGGACGTGGTAATTTAAATGAAAAAAATATTGGTAACAAACAAATAGGCGGAAAAAAACGTAATATCAGTGCACGGGAGCAAAAATCCAGAAAACGGTATTAAGCACGGCCTTCCCAACTGTCACAAAACTACAGTAATGCTGAGATATTTGTAGAACTCAGACCACAGGCCAGACTCGAAGCCGAGATTTCTCTTTCCGGAGGCCGACATGTGGCTCACTGCACCACTGAGGCTCTTGCTTTGCAGTAAGTAAAAGTAGGTACTAAAGAAAAATTTATACATTTTCACGAAATTGTTCGCAGGAAGACGATCTGTTGTTTTTTTTAAAGAAAAGCAACTATTGTCGCGAGAAAAGTGATGATCGTCCAAAGTTGAATGTCACGATTAATCTCAATCAATATCCGAAAAAAATAAAGCCATAAAGATAGATCGACTTCGGTTTAATGTGGTGTGATTTATCCCTAAAAAATTTGGAGCTCTACATAAAGCACTGAAGCTTTCGAAAAAAAAGTAAAATTCATGTAATCGCCATGTAACACAATCGTACCTGGATTGCGATTTTTCTTCTCCTGTTTCTCGTCATTGTTATCACCATTTGGTCGGAATATGATCTCGTGTGAAGAAGAGAACTCCTGCTTTGGATTAGTGATGATCAGTGATTCGAACGCCTTTCTAGATATCTCACGGAATCGCGAGTCATTTGCAACCGAGAAGTGGATGTAACCATCGGCGACGGACAATGGTTCGGTGTCAGAGCTCGAATCACTACTGATCGGCCGACAACGGACCGCTGACATCGTGCACAGGACTAGAATCATTGAGAAGCACTTCAGTTTCCGGAGAACAACACCGGTCAACGGCAAGTGCATTATTCGCTGCCGACATACCAACCGCCGAGTATCGCTCCATTTGTCCCGCCCATTTGGTGGGAACAGATGTCCAAGCCCTGGCGAATATTCAGTGTCTTCCATAGAAGCAGTTTCAAATCGAACGAGAATCAGTCATCGATGATGAGCTGTGTGGTGTACGGAATGCGTGTACCAGGGGCCGACAGAATCCGTGGCTGGCCGTCGAGGCACTTGACTAGCGCTATCAGCTCATCGTTGTGAAGATAGCAACGTTGCTGCCCCCAAAGAGGCGCCACCTCGAGTTGGCGCCACGAACCCCACTGCCACTCGGACGAAGTATTCGCAACAGCAGACTACACAGTACCGATCTGCTATTCCCGGAGCGTCCTTCCAACACATTCGATTGTGTTTCCCTCTTAGGGGTTAGAAATTTGTGCTAGGAATTAATATATTAGAATTAGAATGACGAGGGTAAAAACTACTTCTCTAGCAACAATAACCTTCTTTCCCTTTTCTTTTCTCAAGCACCTAAAGTACGTAGAATGCACGTACTACTATGTTGCTCGGGATTTAGAGCCTCTTAACTATTTGTTTAAGTCAGTCTGTCAAAAACCCTGGTTACTGAAAAAAGATTTCGGAAACATTTTTTCTTCTCTGAGAAATATTTTTTCTTGCTTTGCAATAACATAAACGAAGCATTTCTCTTGCTATAAGGCAGATCAACTAGTAAACATATCCCACGATAAAGCTGGTTGCAAAATTAAGCCTTTATTGTTGTTCTCTTGTGTAATTTTCATTGTTTCAATAATGTCTTGCCACATAGTACTAAGTATGTGTGAAAATTTCGCGCTAAATCAAGTTAATTTTCGTCTTCAACCGGTCTTAGCACTTTTATCTTAATAAATCGATAAGCAAACTATACGAATACTTCCCTCTGGATCGACTTTCGTCGGTCCACATTTTTGTTTCCCAACGATGACCCTCAACGAATTTTTTCTTTGTTAAATACTTTACTTACCGTGCACATTGGTATTCACTGAATGGCTTCATCAACAGATCTACGACGTAAACGGCACTAAACAGAAATGAGATTCGGCAAGGATACTCGATTCGACGAACTGGGTTCAAACAGCAGTTGTTCATACCGCCGGAGGTGAATTCCTTGTGTGCAGTGTGTTCTCTATTTGCTTTCCTTTTTCGAACGCTTTTTCCTGCATTCATTTCACTGCTATTTGCATAGCAGTAAAGATTGCGTGCACTGCTATGTCTCTAGAAAAAAATGACTGTGCGTTTAAAATCAATGATTTTTTCCCTGATTTTTGATCAATAAACCATCGATGGCTTAGGATGACACTACACTTTGACTTTGTTTCTTTTCATGGACCGAGTATCGTAATGAATTCTTCTACCAGGTGGACAGTAAACTATGTGAAAGTCTTTGTTCAGTTCGTCATCACTTACACATCGTTCTTGTCTCAACTGCTATTTCTTCAAGTTTTTCTTTAATTCTCTAGCAAGTTACTAACTGATGCGTAGTTTTTATTGCGTCCGGTCGGTTTGTGCCTTTTTATTGAAATATTGTTTTTCGAAAACATTTCTTATACAGTGTACGACCACGATAGTGCTGAGATATCAGCAAAACCCAGGACCTTCGGTGGGCTTCGAACCCATGGTTACCCTCACCGACGGCTCATAGCTTATCCACCACATCAATCGAGTTCCTTGCTTTGCTTTTCTCTCGGCTAGTTTTTTACTCTATCGGTGCTATCAGTGTTCACGCGTTAACGGGAATGACGTAGTAAATAGAAATTAAAACATTCCCGTAACTGCCTTTTATAACGGTTACTAGGAAAGCTAAATCCTTCGTTTACTTTATGAAGATCGACAAGCCAAAAAATTTATTTACTTGTCTTCTAATATTATGGAAATCATACGCACCTCTCCTTCCGATTCATTCTCTCACATTCGTTATAGAGACCGCTCTTTACCTCCTGGAGAATATTCGCTATTTCTATAGACTATCTTGTGCTTTCTACGTTGCTTGTGTGAGTTGCACAAAGTCAAATTCCTGTCACAATCTGTAGAATGCGTCACATCAGCGATAGCTCAAGTTCTTGCTTCCCAGCTGCTAAGAAATACTTTTAATTGCTTTGTATACTAACACTTGCACAACGGGAAAATACTCTTTAGGAATGGTCGCGTCTACAGCAGTAACAGCTGCTTCCAGTCGGTTTTCAGAAGCCGCAGTCGGCTGGTGATAGCATAACTTTTCACTGACACTTCTCACTCTATGTGATTGTCCTGTATTATCGATGTATTGTAGCTACTCTTTAATTATCATGTATTCTCTTAGTATTCTGCTATATTAGTAATCTGCTTACCACGTTATTTCTCCCAAAGGTTTAGCGCCTCATCGTGGCTAGAAGGTGTTCATGGTGTTGAAGTACGATGTACAACAGAGGGTCGTTCCACCAGCAGAGTCTTTCAAGCTAAAAAGGAGTCTTTTGTTTTTATCTGGAAGTTCAGCTAGGAGTGAACCGATACGGGAATCACCTGCCCTGGTATTAAATTAGTGGCAAGGTGGCGAACCTTCCTCTGATTCATACAGGCCGGCGACTGCCTATGGTGGTGTTGACCTGGAGAGCGCTTCAGCTAGACTAACCTCAGGACTCTAGGGACCACATTGGCTAAACCAACAAGGCTCCAGCTTCAGCACTTTGCGCTCTAGGCGCTCACGTTTACAACGTGAGGTGGTGAGAGAACCAGTGAGAGGCGACAAAATCTCGCGTTGCACAAGGAAACTGGCAAAACAAGCACGCCCATGATACCACTTGAAGACTGCCTCTTGCTCTGCACCTATAATACCCGACCAATCTCTTCAGACGCCGATCTTTAGACAATTCTTGGGACCACGAGTCTCATCAAATTCAATGTGATTGCTCTGCAACAGACGAAAAGAAGGAAGACGGGCATACGCCAGTTAGATGACAGAGCCTCTAGCAATCGTAGAGGAAAATTTTCGCTACGAAATGCGGTGTTGGTTTTGCCTTGTCATAGTTGCCATCTAGCCACACCATATAAAATTCAGTCATCGCGCTGGGCCATTTCTCGTTTCCAAGTTGTACGTCAAAAGAAAGTTGATGTTATCAAATGTTACTCACCAGCTTGTAGAGCTGCTTAAGAGAGAGCTCGAAGCGCTTGACAACCAAGTGGAGGATGTAATCTGCAATCAGAAGTCCTCCTATAAATTTTCTGTTAAAAACCCTAATGCCATAATAGAAAGGGCTAGCGAAAATACGCACAGGATAGGGAAACTCAGAACAGGAAAATGAAATGAGTATGGAGACCGTTTCGTTGGACTACGATCCGCAGCACGACTCTTCCATGGAAATTCACTGTTTGAGAAGAAAGCAAATTACAAGATCGACTTTCTGTTAAGCTCGACATTGATCAATAATTTTTTGTTTTGCTCTATGACTAAAGACAAGTTTATTATTATGCCGTTTATTCGGAATAGCTTACGTTTCGGCGGTTTCGCCTTCTTCGGAGCCTGAAAAGGGCAAATTGACATGAAATTTACTCAGCCAAATACTTTCATGACCTCACTAGACAAAACATAGCACATAAATTTGCATTTACGTAATTTTCCCTTGTGAGCCTTTCAGTTGTTTGGTGGGGACCAACCACACAGAGTATTACATGGGCGAGCAATGTGCCTGGTTTAATCCACAGATCATACTGAGGTGTGGCGACAGGTCACGCGTGATCATAAGACACTTCTTTTTGCGGCTCATTTCTTGGATTTTTAGAATTAATCTAAAACGCTACAAGGGAAACATTGCTGATGTTTTGAATTCTTTTAGGAGGATAGCGACTTTTGCTTCGAAATCTCCGTTGTGTTTCTGTGCCCTATGCGTGCCTAGTGGAGTGTTTAGTTTCAATTTAAATTTACCGACTAGGTGGTCTTTTCTACAGAGGCAGAGGAGTCTACGCGTTTTGCCAAAGTATTCGTCCCCACACGCTTTATAACGGATTAGGTACAGCGCCGTTGGCTATGGGAGTCTCCTAACCGAATTATTCATGCGGAACTCGATCATATACTCACGAACATTGCTCTTTCATACCTCAGTGGTTTCTGGATTCTATGTATGACCACGCCTTCTCCATGCTAATATTCGATCCAGCCTTAAGCTGGAAACGAACTTCTTTCTCTACCCAAAAAAACCGAAACAAACGTGTATGCAGAAATCCCATTAAAATTTTTTCCTCAAATAACTGGCAGTTAAAGAAAGCCTCAACCGATGACTACAAATTGCTTGTCGATCGACTTCTACCAAACTCGCCCCAGTTTCTCAAACAAGAGGTTCAGACCGCATTTCGATTGCCAATAAGAAGTTACTCGCAAAGAGAAAAAACTAAAGCTTGATCTTAGTACCAAACAACTTCCTTATTTGTACACTTGGATGGCCCGTTCTCATTGGTTGTGGAGGCCGCAGCACAAACTCAAATTTTCGGAGTTTTGCTGATTTAGCCATTATGTTTCTCCGGAGTCCCGAGGTCAGTCAGGCCAAAGTTTGCCCAGGTCATCACCACCACATGCAGTCACCGCCCTTGTGGATCAGACGGGGATTTGCCGCCATGCGAGTAGTTTGAAGCCAGGGCGGTGGTGGATCCTGGTATCAGTTTACCTTCCGCTGGTCTTCCTGATGGAAACCTCGGACTCATTCTTAGCCTGGAGGACCTGGTAGGGGGATGAATCCCTCGCTGTGCGTCGCAGCGCCACACCCAGAAACACATCCCAACCACGATGAGGCGGTAAACCGCTGGGAGGACTAAATAACTAACTTTTCTAATAATATATACCAGCTGCACAAGATCTTTGCATAAGAATTTGCATCGGTGTAGGTAAAAACAGCTTATCGGAAGCGGATAAAAAGATCAATTCTGAAGAAGTACCGCTGAGAGTATTGCGACTGCAATGTTTCCTTATTCGCCCCAGAAAATGAATGTCGGGCTATAACTACATCCCACAATGATAATGAACTGACAACGAAAAAGTTTTGTACTAATATTTCCAGCTCGACAGCCCTATCTCGGACCCCGAACTCTCCAAAACCAAAACCACCAAGGATTCAATTCTTTGGAGCTCGAGTTGCGATAATAGGCATGAAGAGAGACGCAGCTACAGGACCTGATGATATCACCGTCGATTTCCTTAGAGCTTTCGGCCTTAGAGTTAAATGTAGTTCTCGAAACCCTAATGACCTCTCAGCTTCAAAAAGAGGAAATCCCGGACCATTGGAAGAGGCCGCGCCCGGCCATTCCGCAAAGAAAGGGCTACCGAAGGAATGTTCGTAATTACTGTTCGATATGCTTGTTAGGTGTACTTTACAAACTGTCCATCCTTTTGTGCATATCGAAGATCGAATTGGGAGCAGTGCAACTAGTCCAGAAAGCAAAGCAGGGTTCGGACACAGATTCTGCCTTTGTCGTGCATGAGGCAGCGTTTGGCTACGTCGGAACGAAGGCAATTCCATCAGCACTCGTCGATCAAGTAATGGACATGACCTACATAAGGGATCTATATGAGTGTAACCGAAAATGAATTCGGAAAATACAGCTTTTCCACCGGCTTCTTATCATGCCCATAAGAAGAGGGTTCCGCAAGGCAACACCATATTGCAAAAGATGTTTAGTGCCGCATTGCAGTGGATAATGAAGTTACTAGATTAGGGCGAAAAGCATAATTAATGACAAAAAATTTCCTGAAAATCTTCGTTTCGCGTATGACATCGCCATCTTTTCGAGGAGTACCAGCGAAGCAGGGACGACGATAACTTAACTAAGAGGGAAAAAAACTAGACGTATAAATAGAACGAAGACCCAATTAATGAAGTACCTATGATGCGAAGGTGAACAAATCGAACTGCATGCTCTGTTGATCACAGAGACCACATCAAACGTATACCTTAGTCGTTACAGGAACGCAGAAAGCGACATTTAAGGAAAATTAGATAAAGAAGGAGGGCGACATGGGTCGCCTTTTCGATTTAACACTTTTTCTAGCACTCTGCTATAGAGCAAAAATGCGGACTGAAACTTCAACCACTTCAAGAAATCTGCACACCACTTACTGCGCCCTTGATCGATGTGTTCTGAAATACAGCCACCCCTCAGGACGTCTGCGTGGAATGTGCAGCACATGTCTCCAAAACTTATCCTCAGAGTGCACAAGAATATACATCGATAGGAAAGCACAAAGTTCATATAAAAAGAATAGGGTGGGTGCACACAAACATTAGTGGGATAGATCCTTAGAGAATGCAAGCGTCCTTTTGGAAAACTAACCAAACGATGAGCGTGCGCGTTCGTGGCTAATGCTATTTTCATTCGCCCATGAAAACGACTTTAGGAATTCGGGAGAGGCCTCGCAGATGTCGCCATGCTCGAAGTAGCCTACCACTATAGACGACGATTGCGCAAGAGTAGAACGAATGGAAACTACGCTGAAGGCCGCAGTATAAGTGAAGGCGGTTCATTCAAGTGTTCAAATAAGTACGCAAGCATCGCATTATATTTGCAGTATTTATAGAAAAATACCTAAATACCAAAATTTGATTGATAAGCAATTTAGGACGCCAAAAGCTTTAGTAGCACATGCAAAAAGATAAAAATCTAAATGGTAATCGTGTGATCAACAGCTTCTCGATAAATCCACTGATTTTTTACGTGCCTTCCACTGAGGAAGAAGCGCTGATTAGAATCGCATACGGTCGATGAATGCACCACCTCTCATCAAAAGTCGATGTGAAGGTAGGGAACGAGATCACGGTTCTTAGTATTTATTCACGATAAGCCTCAAGAAGTCTGCGCGATGGTGTTTGGGCATCCTATTTGAGAGTGACCTTTATCCTAACTCTTTTATTTACTGCCTTTTTCTTCTTAATGGCAGGGTATGTTGTGAAATATGGTGTAGTGGTGAAGTGCGCTGCTCCCCGGTAAGGACAACAGCGCGTGTTCGTTCCCCACTGCATACACCTGTGGTCCGGAGTTTTGCAGATATCTCAGCACTTCATACGAGTGACCTTTATATCAAAATCGCCTCCGCTGTGCCTTTGTATCCCATACAACCCTAGTAGCGTACCCTGTCTTACTCTTTTGTTTACCATTTCGGTGTTTTTTTATACGGGGACATAAATGTCTGCCCGTTTCACCAAGATATTCATCCCCGCGAGTATTACAAGAGATCAGGTGCATCGTTCCTGAACTCATGCAGTCACCGTCCCTGCTGTGAGGGCGAATTACTCAATTCTGTGTCCTACATGGACGGCCATATAGGCGGTTACGAACTAATCGACGACGTAGGGTATGTGGTAGTATTTCAACTATAGCTACCGATTCCTCTAGATCTTCCCTTCTTAAGCACCGCTTCATAGCTACACTTATTTCATCGCTAATGAAGGGCAAAATAAACGGGATTTTGTCTCGGCCAAACCTTTCGTTTTGGAGCGTCGCTCTCCTTCTAAACTTATCTCATGGGGTTACTATTTCGTAGCTATTGGAGATGGCTATTTGCCGAACCAAGTTGCGCGATTCTTCCTTTAGTTCCCTGGTAGTGCACACAGAGGTAGCTATTCGAAATATTTCGAAACCGACCTTCCCTAAACCTCGGTGTGACAAATCGATATGTATTCTTTCTTGATAAGCTTGCACGAGGTTGATAAATATATTTATTTTCGGCTAACGTTTCGATGTCTTCGTCTTCCTCAGAGCCGGTGATCCGAGTCGATGGTCCATGCTTGTTGTTCGCCTCGACGTTGTGTCTTCGCCTTCCTGTCGAGCCAGATCTTCCTCAGCGAGCCATCTTCTCGAATGAGGCATCCTCACTCAGTGATGCCCTTTTATACACGATGCTGATGGTGGATATATAATGACAATGTCCGGTGGTAACAACTTGTATTTCTTCCGGACATACATCATTGCGCACATCGTGCAGAGGTCGGTGTGTTATCAGCTAGCACAAAGCGTAGTAATATTTCGAAACCGACCTTCCCTAAACCTCGGTGTGACAAATCGATATGTATTCTTTCTTGATAAGCTTGCACGAGGTTGATAAATATATTTATTTTCGGCTAACGTTTCGATGTCTTCGTCTTCCTCAGAGCCGGTGATCCGAGTCGATGGTCCATGCTTGTTGTTCGCCTCGACGTTGTGTCTTCGCCTTCCTGTCGAGCCAGATCTTCCTCAGCGAGCCATCTTCTCGAATGAGGCATCCTCACTCAGTGATGCCCTTTTATACACGATGCTGATGGTGGATATTGATAATACATACTGATTTGTCACACCGAGGTTTAGGGAAGGTCGGTTTCGAAATATTACTACGCTTTGTGCTAGCTGATAACACACCGACCTCTGCACGATGTGCGCAATGATGTATGTCCGGAAGAAATACAAGTTGTTACCACCGGACATTGTCATTATATATCCACCATCAGCATCGTGTATAAAAGGGCATCACTGAATGAGGATGCCTCATTCGAGAAGATGGCTCGCTGAGGAAGATCTGGCTCGACAGGAAGACGAAGACGCAACGTCGAGGCGAACAACAAGCATGGACCATCGACTCGGATCACCGGCTCTGAGGAAGACGAAGACGTCGAAACGTTAGCCGAAAATAAATATATTTATCAGCCTCGTGCAAGCTTATCAAGAAAGAATACATATTCGAAATATGTTTCTCACAAGCGCTCTTCTTGTGTGTGAAGGTGGGACGAAAGAAAATAAACGAGGATGTTCTTGTTACTTGGCTTTCGGTACCACTTTGTCAAGTAACCGCTACTTGATAGGTTTATTTGAAAGTTTGAAAACGGAAGCCAGTTTTTTCTCGGTTTCTCCCAGGTGAACTTAGTGTACTCAGACTGCTGGCTCAATAATCCAAAGCATTTGTCTATCTCTCCCTGCGTAGAGAAAACGACAAGACAATCATCTGTGCATCTGCAGTTGAATTGCAGCTGGAGACCGAGAACGCGATCTTCTACCTTAAACATGAACGGAATGGCAAGCCTTGGCGCTGGTCACTGTTCCATTACCAACCCTCTTATTTGCGTGTAGTATTTCCCAGACCATCTAAAAATCGAGCAGTTTACGCATTCTTCTAGGAGAGCCATAAGCTGCCGAATAGTCCAGCCGTGCACATTTATTCGTCCTCCATGTTGAACAAGAAGTTCGTGGGTGGCTTGCATTGCGGAGTCATTCGATAAGTTGGTGTACAGCGCGATAACGTCGAAGGACTCGATCACGTACGCGTTGTCAGGAGACGCGCTACGTAGACGTTCTAGGAACATTTGGTTGTTCGTGAGGTGGGCTGGAATGTGGCTAGGCAACTGGGTTAGTATTAGGCTTAGAAACCAGGTTATCCTATCCGTGTCGGACCGTTTACAGAGCTAATGATGGGTATAACATAGAATGATGATGGATTGGTTGACGCAAGATCATCAGGTGATACTAATTTATGTGTTTTAACAAGTAACTGTAAGACAGGACAATTTCAAAGGGTAAAATAATCGATGATTTTAAACCTACAGCCTTTACCACATTGACCCTTTGATTGTTTAATTTTTGGTATTTACCTTTATATTCCTTTCAGAGGATGGGCGATAAAGGGTTTGATTAGTAAGATGCTCCTCCGATACCTCAACATATAACTGTCGAGGAATAACTACGAACTCTCCCTCTTATCTCTAACAGATTGTTTTTAAGTTTACTAATTCTCTAATTTTTCTCATGCCACACTCTTGTGCTACTGTAAGGTTAGAGGTAAGCCTTGTATCGCGGTAGTGATCAAGGGTCTTGAGAACGCCGTCCGAAAACATGCTGAATTTTGTGTCAATTCCGTCGTTAGGGTCTTGCTGTCTAAAAAACGTTCTAGGGAAAGGAGATGATGGTAATGGCGTCACCTCTTGATTTTCAGCTTTTTTTGATGCTCCTTGTTTGGCGTGATAGTGGAGTCGATCTTGAAGCTCATAAAGGTTGAATGCTATCTACGCAAGGTTGTTCTAGAAATGGGATGTGATGGTGAAAAACTTGAGCCGAATTCTAATATCGAGCGCGACTCTCAGCTATTGTCATGCCACCAAGCACGGTTACTCTAGACTTTTTGGTGGACTCTTAACCGTATCTTGACCCCTAGTATAGATCGTTTGTTTATGGTTTCTAGCATCCGAGAGACGCGAGTTATTCAGCAGATTCTCAAACTTCGATGCAAGGCTATTTTGGCATTAGATCTAATAGAACTGCATATCAATATTGACCCTATTCTCCTCCAGAGTTGATCCTCCAAATACAAAACACAGAAATGTTCCTCCATCACACATTTCATTTTTCTTGCCAACATTTCGTTCCGTTTGCTTCGTAGTACGATGCGAAGTAGCTCCATTTTGATGCCTCGTACTTGTTGCCTGTCCTCTGGTTTACCGCATATCTCGTGGAACCGTTTTCGTTCTACTTTTATTCTGGATTACTTTCAGGAATCGGGAAATGAGCCGCAAGGAGGAATGCCTCATAATCACGCATGATATTGGGCAGTATTAAGCCTGTTATTTTGAT